TGTGGGGGTGGAGCGGGTCCTGGCCCACTGCAGCCAGACACTGTCCAGGGTGCCTGTCTCTTTTCCTCGCTCTCTCTCAAGAAAGGAAAGAAAGAAGGAGGGAAGCAGGGATGGAAAGACAGGAGAAGAAAGTGAAAGAAAGGTAGAGAGAGAGGAAAGAAACTTTTTGAAAAGGACAATATTTGGGGCCATAAAAGGAAGCACAGATGGCTTCCGGGTGGATGGTCGGGTGGGTGGCTCTGCCATTTCCACAGACACTTGTCGAAGGAGGAAACAGGGGGTGGAGATCAGAGAGGACGCTAAGCGAGGTCCAAATTCTTTCTTTCTTTTTTATCTTTCCCAGCTGCCTAAATCCTTGCCCTGGCCCTGCCCCGTGAGTGTGCAGTGACCACCCTGTGGGGCAGCACAGGCCTGCCTGGCCGTCCTGTGCTCTCCGGTTGGTGGTTTCCGCCGTCCCTGCACAGGACCAGAACCAAGGCCAGGCTGCCTCACAGTGGGCTCCTGCCAGTAAGCCGGAACCCCTGCCACCCAAACATCCCATCGGGTCATTCTTGGGGAGCCGGCTTGTTGGCCTTTCACTATTTCACGTACATTTTCAGTTTGGTTAGTTTTAAAACAGTCTGGAATACAAATGTTCTAACATTAGGTTAAAATGTTTCCATTTTTAAGACTTCTTTTTGTCTAGGATGTGTATTGAATCAAATAAAGCCCTTTTTCTGACACTTATTGAGATATGCCTATTGATTATTTATACTTCTTTCAGCTTTGTGTTAATTATATTAATTGATTTTTAAAATTTTAAATGAATATTGCATTCATTTCTGGATAAATCCAAATAGAATATGCTTACTATCTTTTTTATAGGTTGCTGAATTTAATTTTCTAATTTTTTTTTAGAATTTTTGCATGTACATTCATAAATTAAATTAACATCGGGACCAGCAGTTGGTATAATGGCTATGTCGCTGGACTCCCATGTAGCCGACCGCAGTTCAAGTCCCGGACCCAGTGGCTTAAACTCACGCCAGGCGCATGTGCATGCGTGCCCAAGATCCTAAGAGGAGAATGGAGGAGAAGGGATTGCGGCGTGGCCATCCCCCCTGGGGGGTGATTTCTCTCTTTCTGTCTCTCTGTCCCTGTCTTTCTGGTGAGCGCACATGCCCTATAGCAAAAACCTCTCCAAAAAATAAAAAATAAAAAAATTAACATGTCTTGTTTTTATACAGTCCTTAACAAAAGGTTGGGTATCAGTGAGAAGAGTTGGAAAGTGTTGCTTACGATTTCATATTCTGAAATATCTGTCTCTCATATGTTTGACAGGATTTTTTAGTGGAACTGCTAGGTTGTGATATTCTTTTTAAATTTTATGATTATTATTATTTTTAAATTTGCTATAATACATGTGTGCTCACCAGAAAGAGGGAAAGTGAAAAAGCAAGCTGCCAGGACTGGGACTCAGACTGCAGTGGGCCATGTGGGACTCCAGCACCTCAACGACCACGCCACCTGCTGGCCCGGGTTGTGGTATTCTTTGTGGGGAGATGTTAGCTCCTGATTCTATGTCTTCTGTGTTATTGAATTAGACTTTCTGCCTTTTCTTGATTCGATTTTGTTTCATTATTTTTGTATAGGAATTTGACCACCTTATTTATCTAAGTTATCCTTATTAACATAAAGTTACTTATAATAACCTCTTATTATTTTCATAATCTCTTGGTATCTACACTTGTATTTTTCTTTTATTTCTAATATTATTCATCTTTTTTTTCCCTTAAACAGCTTGGCCAGGTCTATCTATTTTATTAGTATTTCCAAAGAATCAATTTTTGAATTTGATGATTCTACTTTACATGTATTACCTATCAGTTTCTGCTCTCATAATTTTTAAAATTTTTTGCTAAACGGTGAGTGTGTTCACTGGAAAGAGACAAAGATGGAAAGTGAGAAAGCACCCCCCTGGGGGTGGCCACACCACAACCCGTTCTCCTTCATTTTCCTCTTGGGATTTGGGTAAGCACATACATGAATCCAGTGTGTTGTTCAAGCCACCAGGTCTGAGACCTGAGCCATGCAGTTGCCCATATGGGATCCAACCACCTTAACCACCACGCTGCTGGCTGGCTTCTGCTTTATAACTTCCTATTTCTTCCCACTAATACTTAGGGTTCATTCTACTATCACTTCCCTATCTTCTCAAGTTGAATGCTTATCTAATTCATTTTTAGTTTATTTTCCTTTACAGGCACTAAAGATTATGAATTTCCTTCAAGTATGCATTAGCTGTATCACACACACTTTGGTTCTAAATATTTCCATCACAACTTCTTCTTTGTCTTACAAGTTAGTTAAAATGTCTTTTTAAGTTTTGCAATATAGGGCCTTTTCTATTTATTTATTTATTTATTTATTTATTTATTTATTTATGTATCTGTCTCTAACTTAATCCATCAGCAAAACAGTCTTCAGGACTCAAGTACTTTCCATCCCCTCACGACCACCACCACCCTGGTCCAAGACACAGTTTTCTCTCCCTGGAGATTGCAGACACACCCTCACTGTGCTCCCTGCTCCCATTTAAGCCCCTCTCACATTGTACCATAACACTCCCACTCCATCTTTCTCTTTGACTACTAGCCTGTCCAGGCCACTGCTCTACCCTGGCCCCTCGTGGCCTCTCACTAGGGCTGCACACCCTGAGTCTTGGGTGCATTCATTCTCTCAGCCACTGACCCAGGTTAGCCCACCCTGTGTATTCCTTTATCTTAAAGTATTCCTTTTTCTTTCAACAAAACTCAATTTTATAACCTGTTGCTTCATTGAAGCCTAAACATACAGGTATCTTTGGGCCATGAGCAATGATTTCTTGGTTTCAGAGTCCAACTATCCTTCCCTACGCTGACTGCTAAGACTTACTAGTTCAATCAATAAGGACACAGGGAACTGGGGCTTAAGGGAAAAGAAAAAATTTGGTTGAGATCAGAAAATATGACAGAACAGGAAAGTTGATTAACCCTCCAAACTAGACAAAATAAATTTTTTCTTTAAACCCCTTAGACTGTACCATTGACCTCTTGATGAGGTGTAGAGACTGAGAGAGCTAAGCAGATGCTGAAGCTGGCTTTCATCTTGACCTTCTGCTGGTATGGTCTTACAGAGGAAGAGGGCAGGAAACAAATCCCAGGGCCCCGCTGGGGTAGGGATTCTGAGGGGAGGACCTCTTCTCTAATAAAACAAGAGCTACAATAGGCTAAGGTTCAACAAAAAGGCAAGCAGAAATAATACCTCTCCAGGTGACTGCAAGTAAGATGAACTGTCTCAAACATTTCACTGCATGAAGAAAAGTAATCTTCATTGAGGATTCATACCATAGCTGGCCTCATTTGGAGTTTAAAACACATTGACAAAGATGAAGAGAAAATCAACCATATGGAAGAAAAATCTCTGAAAAATGTGATGCAAAAAATGCATCATAGGGGACCAGCAGGTGGCGCGGTGGTTAAGGTGCTGGACACTCCCACATGGCCAACCGAGGTTCGAGTCCCGGACCTGGTGGCATACTTTCTCACTTTCCTTCTCTTCTCTCTGTGCGTCTCTCACTGGTCAAATTAAAAGGAATGAATGAATAAATAAAATTAAATAAATAAATAATTTTTTTAAATGCATCATAAAGAGACAAAGAGATGAAAAATACTAAAGAGAGATTAAGAGACATGAAGGTCAAAATGAGAAGCTCTGGTATACATTGAATAGGAGTTCTACAAAGACTCAAATGAGAAGATATGAGAGAATGTTTGAAGAGATGATCGATGATCATTTTTCAGATATTATGCAAAATATCGATCCAGATTCAAGACTGCCAAAGGATTTTAAAATATAAAGCAGGAAAAATAAAAATAAATCCTCTCTCAGATAAATGATGACGGAACTTTAGGATATCAAAGAAAAGACAGGCGATTAAAAGCATCCAGAATAGACGAAGGCAACACCATTTAGAATCGCTGTCTGTGATAACAAGGTAGAAGGTGGAAGGCAGTGACCATGTCTTCAGTTTGCAAGGTCCAACTACCTTATGTGAACGAGGGCAAATAAAGACATTTTCAGAAGTAAAACTGGAAGCTTGCCACAAATAACTAGAAGGCTCACCAAGCAGAAGGAAAGTAGCCCCAGATGGAAGAACTTGATGGAAGAAGAAATTAGAAGAAAAAAGCTGAGACATTTGGGGTAAGTCTGACTACATATTGACTGCACAAACAATGTTGTTATCTTACAAAAATTTTTAAAGATATAATTAAAATACAGGACAATAAGAGCATATGAACTATAAATTGTAGGCTCGAAGTTAAAACATTCTAACCTTCTTGATTATCCGAGAGAAGAGTAAATCTATTAAGTTCAGATTTCAATCATTTATGTGTATAAGCTAAAATGTTCAGAGTATTAACCAAAAAAAAGGATGAAAATAGAGAGGAGAATTTCCAAACAAGTAGAGAATGGAGAAAACATAATGAGAAAAAAAATATCAGCCTAAAGATGCAGAAGCATGATGAGGAAAAGAAACAGTAACGAGAGGACAGATAGAAAGTACCTAATTATGCAAATACACTGCAATTACGATAAATGGAAAAGACCAAATATTTTAGTTTAAGGACCAAGATTGTTAGACAATTGTTGATAAATTAACCATATGTTGATTATTGGGGACACTTCTAAAACAGAAGAAACAAACATAGAAAGTAAAAGGATGGGAAGAAAATACACTAGGGAAATAATAACCAAAGAAAAGTTGGGGTGTTTCCATTAGTATTGGGTAAATGAGACTTTCAGCAGAGCTGGAGTAAGCATCCATATAATGATAAAGATTTCAATTCTCCAGAGAGATACAGTATTCTGAACACATTTCTAAGAACTGAATTTCAAAACCAATATAGTGAAATTTAACAGGGTACAAGAATAAATGGCTGGGTCTCCATAATGGAAGACTTAAACACCTCTTTCTAATTAATGGGCAGAAACAACAGAATTAGCAAGCCCGAGGTCTGGCACCTAACAATTGCAATTCAGAAGCTGCATGGAAATTCAGACACGCAGCCGCACACTGGGCCTTAAGTCAGTCTCAACAACCACTCCTCTGCTGAGACACAACCTGGTTGAGCTGGCCGCTGGGCAGGACTGGCCACGTGTAGGTAAGCTTGTTCCACAGGGGATTGTCAACTCTGGAATGTTTCCATTGGCCAGGCTTCCTGGTTCCCTCATGTTTGATGGCCCACCTACAACAAAATAAACGACAGAAAGGAAGTTGGCAAGGTTAAATATCACCTCAAAATAGTCATTGTATTCACTGATCACATGCTGTACCAGGCAGAGTCAGTTTGAATTAGAAACCCAAACGTGTTCATTACCAGCTTATTAGAGACACAAAGGGAAGTAATTAGCAAATAAAGCAATAAAATTTTAAAATCAGAAAAAGATGCTTAAATTTAGGCAACGTCAGCAATGTTATGCTAGTGACATGTGAGCAAAAGGCAAAGTAGAATAACATTTTATAACAATGATGTAAATAACACTAATATAAGAAAAATAAGCAAAACTAGACATTCAATGAGAAACTGACACTTATACTATTATTGTGAGAGATCTTATAACATGACAGATTACAGTCCGCCATGTAAGAATATTTAAGCAATGAATGAGGTATAAACCATCCAACTGCTATAAGTAATACATGCGAGGATGACCACCTATCTGTACTCACTGGAGCCTGCTAACGGTCTATGATTCTCTCATCAAATCACAGAACGCTTGCAGTGTTCACCACATAGTCAACAAGTAAATGCAGATTTTCGTTGTCAGAGGGCAGGTGTGTTTGCCAGACAGAGAGGAAGAGGGGGAGGGAGAAGGAGAGGGAGAAAGCATCCCCTAACGTGCCAGGATATTACCATTAATAATAGGTAAGTGAGACTTTAGCAGAGCTGGAGCAAGCGTCCATATAATGATAAATCCTTTCTCCTCCATTTCTCTATCTTGTTAGGATCTGGGGCTTCCAATCACAAGTGCCTGGCATGTTTTTCAAGCCACCAGGACCAGAAGTTGAACCTTGGACAGTCACTGTGGGATCCAACTCTCTTAACCCCTGGACCATGGGACTGCCCTTAAATGCGGATTTAAAATGAAAATTAAACAAGACACATATCGTGGTGAATGGTGACCTACAATTAGTTCTCTAGTTCACATTCTAAGTAGCCCTACTCCAACAGTTCCTCAGTCCCATCAGCTGCTCCGATTCGATGCAATTTTCACTCTCTCACGTTCCGTACTCTCCCACCTAACTGGCTCCTCCCTCTGCACTCAGCAGGGATTTCTGGTCCAGCAATGAAGCCACTCTCTGTCCTCATCTTCAATGTATTGCTTCTTTCCTCCTTCTTTGCACTCATTTGAAAAAAAGATATATAAGCCAGGCCAGCCAGTGGCATGTTGGGTAAGGCAGCTGGATCCCACATGGCTTGCTGCATTGGTCAAGTCCCAGAAGCTATAGTTTGAAAAACACAAAGATGCATTTGTGTGCATGCCTGCCCAAAATCCCAGAAAGGGGGAGAAATGGAGGAGAAGGGATTGTGGCATGACTATCCCCCCAGAAGGTTCTCTCTGTCTGTCTCTCTCTCTGCCTCCTGGTGAGTGCACGTGCCCACTGCCATATATACCAACCCTGGTTAAGTCCAATTCTCTACCTATGCAAAGTCTGTACCCCAACTGTCGAATAGTGGTTAGCGAAACACAACCAATCGTGAATGGAACCACTAGAAACCAAAGGCACCCAATGAGGGTTGGAGGCGGTATGGGTATTTAGGAAGTATTTTGAGAATTTGAGAACTTCTTTGATTGTCACAATGATTAGAAGACATTTCTGTCACTTAACTGTCAGAGGCCCAACTATATCAAATACCCTTCAAAGTATGGGAAAGCTCGCCCTGGGTCTCAGTTTCACATTTCCTCCTGAGTACTCATGTAGGTGAAAATCTATTTTTCTGAGTCTAAAACCAAACTATATTTCACAAAAAAACACAAAAGACCAAAATTTGATTTTTCAAGAAACCCAACTCTCTCTAATACCTCAAAGAAAGAAGTTCTTTTTTATTTCTTTTTCATATCAGTCACTCTTTTGGGAAAATCACATCACTAATGGTCATTCATATATTCAGGGGATCTGCACAGAGGATCAGGTGCCCACAGACTTAATAATATCCTGTATGTCTGTGCTGAGAGTTTACATTGCAATCCACCGGACTTTTACTTTAAGACATTTCATTGCCTTTATTATTACTGGTTAGGCATTTCTTTAAAAATGATGTTGGCAAGTGGACTAGACCCATACCCTAGTGGTTAAGGGAGCTGGTAAACACATGGCCGACCACGTGGTTTAAATGTTTTCAACCCTGGTGGCTTGAAAAACACACCAGGAATGTGTGCGTGCACGTCCCGAATCCTGACGGGATGGAGAGATGGAGGAGGGATTGTGGCGTGGCGATGTCCCTTTCGGGAGTGCTGTCTCCTTCTCTAGCAAGCACACAAACCCTGTGGCAAGTAATCAATAAATCAACAATTTAAACTTACATTGGTGGGGTCGATTACCGTAACTCTCCGTTTTCTTTTAGGATAGTAAACAAGTCATTACGAAGTACTAGCACTGGGCTGATGGTGTTGACGACTACTCTTTCAAATGTGCGACCACAGACCTCCAGCAGACCCGGGGACAGCTGGCCCTCCCACTGCACCTTCCAGCCCACTGGGTGCAGCCCTCTGAGGCAGGCCACTGCCTTCTCGCCAAGTCTCCCACACCCCCTGGCCCGATTTCTGATGTCTGCTGGAGACCTTTTGATCTCACTGAGAAAATTTAAATGGCCAGAAAAGACCTTCCTCACCCTCCCACCGGCAAATCCACCTCGCTCGTGCCTCTGAATCCTAACACCCTGCTAGCCACCTGCCGGCCCTCCTGCCAAGCGGAGCGGCCTGTGCTCTGATCTAAGGCCAGAGCTTCTGGTGCCCCGAACCCTCATTCTCCACCGTCTAGGACTTCGTTCTGCCCTGCACTATTCATGTTCTTCTTCTCCGTCATTCCACCTGCATAATGCCTGGCCAGCTCTGTGAAAAAAGAGAGGACCTTGTCTAATCCCCCCCATCCACCTCCAGTTATTGCATTATTTTTCTGTGTTTCTTTACAGCAAGGTCCTTAAAAGATCCTTCTCCTCCTCTCTTCCCCCTCTCTTAAACCAATTCCAATTACATTTGCATTTCGGAAACACCAAGGAAACTGCCTCATCGGGTCTTCACATTACCAAAGCTAAAGGTCATTTCTTTTTTTTTTTTTTTTAATTTTTTCTTTTTTTGCTATAGGGCGCATGCACTCGCCAGACAGACAGAGAGAGACAGAGAGACAGAGAGAAATCACCCCCCAGGGGGGATGGTCACGCTACAATCCCTTCTCCTCCATTCTCCTCTCTGGATCTTGGGCACGCACGCACACGCACCCGGCATGAGTTTTAAGCCACCAGGTCTGGGACACGAACCGCAGTCAACTACAGGGAGTCCAGCGACATAGCCATTACGCTAACTGCTGGTCCCCCAAAGCTAAAGGTCATTTCTTAAGACACACCTGAGCTAACAACAGTGTCTAACAAATGGTAATTTCCTCCTAAAAACACTTTCACTTGACTTGACTTCATTTAACTTCTAGGAAACCACGTTCTCCTAGTTAGCATGTTAGTAGCCAAAATTGTTGGACTCCTTTTGTGTGCCAGAAGGTGGGAAATAAATCCTTTGAAAACCCAGGGCCTATCACACCAGCGGAGGTAAGGTAGGTGTCCGCTGGTCTGATGCAAGCAGGGATATTATTTTACAGGAAAGGAGAAATCACAACTACAAAAAACAGCATGGCACTGATGGGCCCTTCCAGGTGTCGGAGCCAAGTATGGCACTTCAGAACACCGCTCGGACCTGCCTACCAGATAATCCAGAAGGCAGCCGATTTCTACAGGAGTCCAGGGCACGGGAACTGTCTGAAACACATCCAGGCCATGGTACAAGCCTCCCTGTCATCTGGGAAAAGTGACCTAGCAGACCAGTGGCACTGACAGTGTCTGACACAAGGATGATACTGCTGAGTCTCTAGGGACCAATGAGAGAAATGCGGTGTAGACTCTAAGATTCTTGAGCGAGACCTGCAGACCAGACTCTCTGCAACAGAGAGCAATCTGTTCTTGAAAAACAATTCCTCGTTAATTGAAAATAATTCCTGGTCTTTGAGAGTGGGACCGGGTCTTGCCTCATGAAGTGACTACAACACCGAGCCACCCCGTCCTGAGCCAGCGCAGTCACATCCCCCCGACTTGCGGCCAGACAGACGCAGCTACTCTGGAACACTGGATCCTGCTCAGGTCCATCTGGAAGGCAGGCATCTACGCACTGACGCCTCTCCCTCAGCTCAGACCGATGGGCTCCAGGGGGTTCTCCATGACCACCTGACAAATGGCAGAGCTCTAGTCTGGTTCGCCGAGCCTGGCATGGGCCGCGTGGACAGCTGCTGCTCCAGGCCCGTGTGGGCACGGCTCTGAAAAAGGGTGGTAAAGATGCTTGCTATCAGGACACCTGGCCACCCACCTCACGGAATCGGCAGGTGAGGAGAGGCACCTCGGTGCGCTGGCTCACGGGCTGGGAGCATGATCGGCCAATCAGGGCCTCAGGGAAACAGCACTGAAAGACAGGTAAGGCAGGATTTTGAAGAAAAGGTGTGTGGCTGAAACTGGGGAGGGTGCAAACTGTGTGGAGGTCATGTTTCTCATCGACAGCGCCCACTAGGGAGCATCGTCCAGAGCCAGGGGGACAGGATGCCCCAAGGTCCCCCCAGAATGCTTCCGCACCAGCCCGACATCGCGCACACCACCGCTGCAGAGCCAGGGGCTCGGTTCATGGTCGCAGCCACAGCCATGACGCCCAGGACCCCCTTGTCTTCCATGGTACACTGCTGCAGAGGCAGCGGGCCGGCTGGGGCGCTCCCCTGAAGGATCAGTGCGTGCACAGCCCCAGCAAGAGTGGCCGGGGCGGCGTCTTTGGGGGTGCTCAGAGCCCAGTGGCCGGGCCGTCTCCAGACGTGCTCTGGTTCCACACCCCTAGCCTTTGCTGGGTTGGGGCACTGATTTTCCACTGTGGGAGCGCTTGGGCCAGGTGAAACACAAATCATCCACTCAGGGGCGCTTTCTCACCAGCCACCTGGGGC